AGCCTCACAAGGAGAGAAAGGCGTTGTAGACAGTTCGCCTTCAGGCGGTACCCAATCTCAAGGTACCCGGAGTTTTCAGGCTAATCTCTTACACTACTGAGACACCGCATATTTATTTATTTCTCATCATCACTCATTTATCATCGGGAGAGCTCCCTTTACCCAAATTTTATCCCACTGACGAGTGAACCTTTGAGGCGAAAGCAATCGAGTGCGTGAGTGCACCTCAAAACGAGATTGATCAACACTCCTAAGCTCCCTTCTCAGTGTGAATCCTAGCATCTCTGCTTTGGCACTATCATTGCTTTTCTGGGACTTATTAGGGCTTATGCACAAGTCGGTGCTTTTGTCCTCCCAGACGAATCTGATGCCAACCAGCTCAGAACATGGGAGGCATGGTTGGGTGTCGCAATTATTGTAGACTACCCAGGGATTTGTCAAGCAGAGTTCCTTCAGGAATCTCTTTCAATATCCATTCCCAAAGGTGTACTGTTGACAACTAAAATATTGACGAACTGACCTGGCCACGCTAGTTTTTCCATTGCAATGATACATCTCTCTTTTGGTGACAGATTGTCTTCATTGCTGACGAAGCCGTGTGTGACATGGGCTGTAAACACCTTTATCAACAAAGTATAAACAGAAAAAATGTGGGGAAGAACACGCTCAGGAAACGATCAAAGAAGGGTAGCCTAACTGCTCTGTTACGGTAGCTTTTTATGGATGAGATGCCTAAAGGTACAAGGTGGAATCTTTGGGAAGCACTGGTACGGTAATGGAATCGAGTTTGAATGAAGTTCTTTATGCTCACCTGAAAATTCGATGGAGAACCCAATACTCAAGATTATTGTGATCATAAATATTGGGTCGAGTTTCACACTCCACAACGAAAGCAGGCCGATCACACCTGAAAAAGCTAATATAAGGGTTGTTTACACGAGTGGCTCGGCTACAACAGTTGTCCATGAAAGAAAATAAGTTGGAAAGTGAGCAGGGACGTACCGACATCGATGGTGATGATGGCGATGGTAATCCAAACTGCACAGAGAGGATTGGGTATAAAAAGAAGACTGATAATTATCATACAGATCACAGCCAAAGAGTCGTTTTGGATAGTCGACTGGAGAATCACGTTCAACTGAAAATGATTTAGGTAGAGTGGGTACATCTTGCTGAGCGCTCCGTGTTGGTAGCTACCTGATCAGCAATCGCACGACTGTATTGGTAGGTGAAAATCTCCAGATCAGGGTGTTGAGCAGCCAGATCCCTCACTTCTTCAGTCACCATAACAAGATCCGTTGGAGTAGAAAGGTCATGGAGACCAATTCTGAAGCGGAACGACACCAACGACAAATGATCGTAATCTGAGGTGTTCGCCCACACGAAGTCTTGGGACCTGAGAGGTAAAGTGGTGAAGAAGTAAGGCTCGTAAGGCTGGGAGTGTACAACTTACCAAAGTTTGTAGAAAGCAAACAGTTGAGACCACTCGTACACGCCAATTACCCAGGATTCACGGTCATCATTCAGAAAGGAACCCGTCAGATTAGCATATTTGAGGTATTCTCTGAGCCACAGGGAAGTGCTCTTAGGACCATTACCTGTGGTTAAAGATTTGAAGGTAATTTTTTCCAAATTAGGATATTGTAAGAGGGCTTACTGTAGGAGATCTGTTCAAATTTCTGAGCGATTTGTTCAATCCGTTCTCGATTTTCTGCTATAGACATGTCTGGAGCTTTTTTGATGGCGACCTCAATCTGCATAAGACTCTATTGAGCTCGAGCAACTCTATCGGAACCTTCTGAACAGGCTTACCTGATCACCACTGGGAAAAAGCTCGATTTCCCGAGCAAATGCCTCCACTAGAGGGTCGGTTTGGAGGAGTAACTTGTCATAGTCCAAACCCTGTTCCATTACTGAGATGCCGTACACGGAGATCTGGAAAAATCCTATTAATAAAAGATATTCATATGTATTTTCGGCATACTGTTCTAACCCTGAACTAGAAGTATCCGCCGCTCAAACGACGTACATACTTCCAGTCAACACAAGCTTTTATGACCATAAAGCTGGCTTCGATTATTAGGGTTTGCCTACTACCTTTTGGCCCAAAAAAGCTGTGTGGCTCACGAATACTTGTCAGTTTTTACCTTTAAACATAACTTTAAAGTAATTAAAATCCAACTTACCACTAGATAAGCTATAAATAAGATGGCTACTCCGATCTTCGTTCTGAGATCAAGAAGGAAAGGAACGTAATAACTTCTGGAATAGAATTTTTCAGAAGATTTTGCATGATAAAAAAAAA